CTACAATAAATCTAGATATTAAGCAACACTGTCACTAAAATAAAAAAAACTAAATAAAATTTCAACAAAGTATTTTAAGTGACCAAGATAGGCCTATACATAATGATATAAAGATAAACATAAAATGTACATAAAAATAATAGAATAAAGACTATATATGGGTGTTTTTTACAGTAATAACTAGTACTTACTGTATGGTAATTTCTGTTAAGCCTCGAGGTAAACGTGCATCAGCGTTATTCAGACATAATGAAGAATGGAGTTCAGTTCTGTTACAAAGGGGAAAGTGAATTCTATTTCCGGAAACAAAGTATCAGTTCTCTGTCTTTCAGGGTCGCCGCAAGTCTTTGTTTCTGGAGGGCAAACACTGAGCGCGCGGTGTTGAGCTGTAGAGAGCGAAATACAACTTTAAAACCACAATCCACACAAAGTCCTGTGTGTGCGCGGCTGATAACATCGAAGCTCATTTCAGACGACACGACAAACGTTTCAAGACCTCTCACTGTCTAAAACTAAGCGTGTCCACGCGTGGTTGTGTGCAAAAGCTGTTATGGGTTTTAATAAATCAAATCAAATCAATAACTTACCAGCTGAACAGAGAGTGACAACAGTGTAGCGGTGAGCTCGTGAGAACCGCTTCTCTGTTTGATTGTTTATTTTGGTGCGTGGAGGCGGAGCTCATGCATATTAATTAGGTGATGTCCATGATGATTGGACAGTTTCTTTGAGCGTCAATACAAGCGTCATTACTATTCATAAGCAATATATATATATATTAATCAGCGCACAATAACATTATACAATACGATAGATAGATAGATAGATAGATAGATAGATAGATAGATAGATAGAAAAACAATAGCACTGAATGCAAATACGCAGTACATTAAAATACACCGTATGCAGAAATTCAGCTGCATGAATAATTTACAGAAACGCATGCACAACAAATCAATTTACTAGATCCAGATCTTCACAGTATTAGTACATTTGGTCACGTATTTGTTAACATATAGTTTTAGTGATGCTTTGAAATAGTGACATCTATTATAGTTAGTTAAATAGTTTGTACCAATTGTTATCATTGGTTTTATCACGTACTTATGAAGTGTCTTAAATTAGATCGTGTCTATATGTATGTATTTATGGTAATATAAAGAATAAACTCATCCTGAGAAAAATCATTGGAGTCCAAAGTGTGACAACTAGCCCCAGTGTGGTATCTGCTAGCTCTGTACTGATATTCATTTCTTATGCTCGTTGTTCTTTTTTACTTTTACCGTGTTTTCTAATGCATCTGAACAGTTAGTTTAGTCTCATGCCGAGTCCGTCCAGAAGAGGGCGCTGTCTAATGGTTTTAATGGTGTGTCTCTATGGAGAGGAGACTGGACAGGTTCTGCAGGATGGCCTGTAAGCAAAGATACTCAATAACAGACTATTCTTCAGGGTTCTCCACACATTTCGACCAATGAATGAACTTGACTTTTGCAGTAGTTCATGATTCCTGGATAAGGATTTGTACAAATATTTTTACTCACAAAGAGCACTTTCTACCCAATTAAAT